TAATTATTTTCCCAGATATTTGGCACATGGGCCCAATACGAAATTAATATGGGCATACCCATATTCAACTACCCAGGTCTTCGGCATGTGGGCCCCATGTAGATAAATGTGGGCATGCCCATATGTATTTTCCCAGATATTTGGCACATGGACCCCATGCGGATTAAATGTGGGCATTTCCATATTTATCTGCCCAGGTATTTACCATATGGGGCCCACGTACTTTAAATATGGGCATTCCCATATATATTTGCCTATATATTTGGCATATGGGCTCCATATGGGTAAACCATGGGCAAGGCCCATATGTGATTGCCCAGACGGATCCCATAAGGGAAAAATATGGGGTAGCCCATAAGACTTTTCCCAGATATTTTGCATATGGGCCCCATGTGGGATTGTTACCTGGGTGTATTTGCCACGAAAAGTACAAAGACATATACATGCATACTAGGTTCTTTTACAACTTTATTGAACCCTGAACTCAACACATTGACACAGTGTATAGTATAACGATGTGCTCGCCATGGAACCCGAACAGCAAGAGAATGACAACGAACGTGACACAGCACGTCTGCCGATATACGCGCGTTATTTACGCTTATGCGTTATGAATATAACCGTAACTACAACAACAACTCTGTAGTGCAGTACACTACAGCATACCAAACTTTTTTAAAAGAAAACTAGCAAAATGATTTTTTGTTCTGAGAGAATTTTTGATATGCCATTAATAATAGAATCAACCTTAAAATCGTTTTTTGGCTTTTTTTTAATGACGTTATAGGCGATTATATAAGATTTTACCATGACGTCACTGGCGAAAAAGTAACGAAATATCGTGTAAATAGTGCAGCTTAGAGTATCCGCCGCGTACGATCTTTGCGTGTATGCTGTAACCATGGCTGTAAATTGTGATTGTTGCATGCATGCAAAGATCGTACACGGCGGATACCCTACGCGGCGCTATTTACACGATCTTTGTTTCTCTTTCGCCAGTAATGTCATGGTAAAATCATATATAATCGCCTATAACTTCATAAAAAATAGCCAAAAAATGATTTTAAGGTTGATGCTATTATTAATGGCATATCAAAAATCCACTCTAGAACAAAAAATCATTTTGCTAGTTCTCTTTTAAGCATGTTAACATGGAGACTTTAATCAACATAATTTGAAAAAAGTATTTAGAAATTATCAGCAGTATATATCATGTCGGAATAATAAAATATTAGACTTATGTTATGGTACAGTCCCAAACGCATACAAGTCTGTAGTGTATATTTGATCCCGGAGTATGTACCAATTGTAAGAGCAAAGGAAAATGTAGTTAACAAAGTCAAACTGTGGACTTCAGATAGCATTGAACAGTTAAGAGGATGCTTAGAATGTACAATTTGGGAAACGTTTTATAACTCTTCGTCAGATTTAAATGAAATGGTAGAGGTAATAACCTCATATATAAATTACTGTGTTGAGCCGTTAATACCTACAAAATCAGTTATTATATTTGCTAATAATAAGCCATGGGTTACAAAAGATTTAAAACATATATTAAACAGAAAGAAACGTATTTTTAAACATGGTAATAAGCATGAATTGAAACAAAAAAAACAAAGAGGTTAAAACTGCAGTAGGTAAGGCAAAAGATATGTACAGAAAAAAAATAGAAAGTAAAATTAGTAACGGATGTATTTGTAGTGCTTGGCAGGGAATTAAAGGAATGGCATCAATTAATTTAAAAATGGGCAAAAAAATAAACTTAGCATAGAAGGTGTTGATGACCACTCTCTGCCTAATAACCTTAACAATTTCTTTGCTAGGTTTGAGAAACACGATCATCTAACGATAAACTTGGTGACTCATTGCCTGGCTCTGATGATAGGGATTGTATAATTAAGGAGGATCATTTTAACCCTCTAGATACCGTCTTCGACTGTAGTCGAAATTGACCTCAAACCGAGAATTCCCATTTTCGACTGCAATCGAAACTTCGTGACTAAAAAATAGGTGGTTTTCAAATCGCTCCTGTTTTTATTTTAGCTCCAATACGTCAGAAATTTTGAACACGCATGCGTGAAGCTTTTGTTTTTCAAAATCTGTGAAGAACTCACATGCGCTTATATAAAAATTTTTAGAAATATCAATTTGAAATCGTAATTAATTTCAAAAATTTTTCGAAATGGCCGCACAAGATGTGTACACAGCTGAGCAAGCAATTGACCCAATTTTTGATTCAGACAGCGATGAAGGTGAATTATTAGATGTGCGAGACTTAGACGTGCTTGTTAGCGATGATGACTTCAAGCGATGATGGGGCTTCAAGCAGTTCTGACGGCGGAGATATTCTTGATGAAGATGAGGCTAGGCCTAGAAATTTGAGGGTAGTCGACGCCTTTGAATGGAAAGATCGTGCTTATAGTTGTGGATGGTTGGATAAATACATTATATAACTGTGTGGAATAGGAATGTTTTATATTTGTTTTTATTTTTTTTGGCTATAATTTATTTTTTTTCGGTTTTTGCTGACGATTTATATGTAGCATTTTTCTGTAATTTCTATTAGTCTCTTATACACATCT